AACTTTAACCACTTCCCAGTCACCTTTCACCCAGTTCTCCTGATTTTGGCTTGCTCTGTTCCAGAGGTATCTAAGACTGCCAATTCCTCTTTTTAAAAAAAAAATTAGTATTTTACCATGAAAGTAAGTCTGTTCTTAGCTTTCTCTGCATTTCAACCTTCTTGGGACTGCTAAATCAATTACCATTCATCCATCTGTTTTTCAGCTTCCAAAATTCTTCTTGCTATTGTCTCTTCTGTTCTCTCTGTCCTCATAAGTTGTGTCTTTTTAAAAATCTCTTTATAGTAGTTCTAACAGGTTTCAGGAGAGAGCAAAAGGAGATGTGTAGATTCAATTCCCCATCTTAACCTGGGAGGGGAAACCTCTGGTCCTGTCAAGAAGATATTTCCTCCTAGCATTCCCCTCTGTGAGCCCCTTTGGAGTACAGGCCAGTGAGAAATTCAGGTAAAGGAGCCAGAGGCCTGTGATGGAACCTGTGTTTCCCAGTGGAGGATACTCTCCCCTATAGGTTTCAAGCTTCTTTCCCTAATCTTGGCTTTTTCCCGCCTCTGAGGGTATAAAGGGCTGAGTACAGATTATGATCAAGTAGGTTGGAAGGGCAAAAAGCCAAGATAAACCATGGAAGCCTGCCTAGAGGAAGTGCTGCCATATTGGGAGAAGCAAAAGATACTTGGTCTCATCTTTCTAATGAGTTCATCCCTTCTAGAACTCTGTGAGGCCAGAAGTCATTCCAAAAAGACTGCTTTTTTGCTCTTTCCCTCTTTATTGTCCCTTGCTTTAGGATAAAGTGATGGTGGCAGAGAGCTATTTGGGTAGATGGGATAGGTTGAAAAGAGGGAAGAAATAAACCACTACAGTTCCTTTTTCCTGAAATGTTTGTGGGCAAAGATATTATCCTACTTCACTTCCTCCTTCAAGCTCAGACCTAATTACCCAGAAAAGAGAAAAGGTAGTGACACAATTGGGTGGGAGAACTTAGGAGGGTCAGGAATTTTGGTGATGATAGTGGTTCAGGCTGTATAACCAACAGCAGGAGGAGCTGAACAAGGCAGCTCACCTTGCTGCACAGATGTAACTTGAAAGTTTCCCAATGGTCATCTATAAGCAACTGGAAGTCAGTGAATAAATACCCCAGCCTTCTTCATCATCACCTAGGAGGAAAGTGTGAGGGTGTTCCCACAAAGTTTCTCAGGAGGTTCCCAAAAGGGTGGAGCCCCAGATGCCCATGGCAGTAACTCACCCATTAACACACCTTAGTATTGGCTTCTCTCCCTTCCATATTTACTTTCCTATTTCTTGACTCCTGTTTCCTGGGATAACCTCCCAAATAAAATACCTAGATCTCAGCTCTTGTCATTAGGGTCTGCTTTAGGAGAATTCACACTAAAACAGGTGTCCTCCAATTCAAAAGTAAGAGCAGACTGCACCACCCCTGGGAAACTGCACTTTCACTTCCTCTGTCTGCGGCTGTTCTCAGCTACAATGTGCTCACATGGGAGGGATCCTGAGCACATTTATATTCTCAGGAGCTCTGAGTTCTGTTTGGGTCATTGGGCCTGTGTGTGCCAAGAAAGGCAACGTGGATTGTTGGTGGCTTGGAAAACAGAATGCTTGGCTACTGCCTCAGACAGAAAACATAGCTCAGCTCAAAGCTACCATGCACATAGGAACCTATACTTCCTCCCCCACTCACATTGTTTCACAGTCATGCATTGAGAAGCAATTTCATCACTCCAAGGATAGGGTCATACCTCATCAGCATGGGCTGTGAGGAGAGGAGAGCCATTGGGATGATTCTAGAAGAAGGAGGCCCAGCAGGAGATTTTTTGAAATCTTGGATGAAAGGAACATAGGACCATACCTCAGTCTCCTACAGAAATGTGAGACTCATCTGCTGACCCAGTCCAAGCGGTCAAAGCATTGAACGGCCAACCCTTGAAGGGATTATTCAGACCTCTAGATTAATTAAGCAGTCAAATACTGGCCAATACAAGGAATGTTTTCTGGGATAGTGCCCACCATTCAACAGACAGATAGGCTGTACCAGGTGGGGAGGACAGGCAGAGGAGTTGGGCTATAGACACCATTGGAGTTCTAGGTGCTGTTTAAAAGACATTTTTGCCTTTATCAGTCAGGCAATCGTTAAAAAAAAAACTTGTATTGAACACTATCCAAGATGACTAAAACCATTATCTGCTCCTACTACCATTACCATCAGAAAACTGCCATTACAAAATTAGTCATAGACATTTTATTGAAAATTAGATGTCATCTCTTTTCCAGAAGGTAGAAGAGTCTTAAAGGACTTCTGACCATGTGGGTAGGGGCAGAGTTTTCTGAGAAATGGGCTGGGGATGATGAAAATGCTTTAAAGAAGTGTAGTACCGGGAGAAGATGGGAGAAAACTGGGGGGAGGGGAGATAGAAAGAGGGACATCCTCTGAAGTCTTAAACTATGAAGTCTTTCCCTCCATCCATCCCCCATCATTTGGAACAAGGGAGTATGTTAGCTGAGAAAACACTACTTCAAGTCCTGGATGCCTGCTGTTTTGGGGTACCCACCTAAACTGCCTAGGCCTTCCTTAATATACACACATTACACATCCCATGTGCATTTTGCCTAAAGAAAGCTGGGGTGGTTGGGAGTGGTGAGGTGGGGAGTAGAAGCTTCTGTATCACTAAGCAGATAGGATCATGGACTAGCAAATGAATCTCCAGCTAGAGATACCAGGAGACCAAAACCTCTGACTTCTACCCCAAGAGGCATAAGGAACAATCCACTACTGAGAAGAGAAAGGCAGGATCCTGTGGAAACTGTGAGGCCCGGTTCCTCCTGTCAAGCCTCAAGGGGAGACTTTCTCCTTGACCCAAAGGGTAGTTGGGCTAGCTGATGCCTCAATAAACTTTTCATAAGATGGGTCTCCCTAAAAATAGCAACTGAGCACATCTCTACTCCTTACATCCTTACATTCTCTTTCCATCTCTCTTTTTCCCCTGTCTGCCCTAATTGTCACAAGGATAAAAGACATGAAGCCAGAGTCACCCCACCCTCTACCCTATAGCCTGTTTGGATTAACAAATTTCTAACCAAGCTTTGTAAACAAACAAAACATGTTTCCAAACACCAGTCAGGGGAAGGAAGCCACAAGGAGTGAGGAGAAAGAAATGGGAGCTCAGCATTTCTCCCCTCTGTGGAGCCCACCAGGGAACAACACCTATCCCAACAATCATTGCATGACTACTGTGCACCAGTCATCTACCTGCTGGGTCTCAAGGAAACATTGCTGCTACTGTTTAAGGGCTCACATTCTGGTCACAATGGAAAATATGTAAATGAGTAGGAACCCTAAGTATGCCCGGTGCTGAGAGGAAAGTGGGTACAGGTAAGGACTCCAGAAGAAAGTCTGTCAACAAGGAGGAAATAGGAAGGAAGACTTCATAAAATAAAAATAAGGTGTCTTTTGAGTGTTCCTAGATAAGTGTTGCTTTCATAATAAAGACAACAGCAAGGACACAGACTCTAAGGGTGAACACCATGGTGCTGCTCTGGGAATGGCTGGAAAATCAAAGTGACAAGTAGGGCAGGAAAAGAGAAAAGGACAGAAACATGGAAACGTGCATATCATATAAGTTGATTTGCATAAGCATGGATTGAAATTTCAGCAATAGCTCTGAAGAGAGGAAACCTAATTTAGACAGACTGAGAGGTATCAGCAACTTAGAGCTGAAAAGGTTCCCCTGCTCCCCGAGAGAGCTAGGAGTGAAGGGAGAAGGGGGAAAAAGATCCCAAGGTTCTTGGCTTGAGTGGCAGGGGGGATAGGCATTGACAGGAAGCTTTAGGGGAAGAAGGGTCTCCTGCACCCTTCCTTTTGCCATACTCTGCCTAGCACAAGCCTTCATCCATGTCTCACTTTAGGAACTGTGACAATTCGGTAACTTCTTGAGATGTTCATTGATTTTGTCTTCACTCCCCCCTTCCTTTGGAGGTTTATGGTTTGCCAAAGCAGGAGCTTGCTAGCAGGCAATTTCCATGACTTTTGCTTCCCAACTTTAAGCCACTGAACTGTTTATGGTTTGTGTGAGGGGACCTGGAAGGTAGGAGAAAAAAGAAGAACCTCAGAGGGGGACATGGGGACTAAGGGAAAGGGGGGTAATCATTTCTATAAGCCTTGAGCTGAGGTGCCCACACATTTAGCTGGGGAGCCTCAGAAAGAATGGCTCTGAGGCCTGCAGCAGGCTCCCAACACCACCAAAGATTTCTTCAGCCGAGGAATGGCAGAGCCAAGGATCTGGAGACCAGAGGTTGTCTCCGCCTAAGATACCACCTGAGTGACCTCCCTAGATCCTTGGAGTTGCATTAAACAGGTCCTAGGTCTTGGAATTACAGAAGGGCTGAGCTCTGTACCCTAACCAAGGTCAGTGTCTTGCCTGACCTGTGGAATGGGAGCTGGGTGATGAGGGGGCTAGGTTAATGCAAATAAACAAAGGACACACTTCCCTCTACTATCTGGGCAGATTCTGGGTCTCATCTGTCACTGAGGTGCCAGCACTCAGCTGGGTGGACCTGTTGCAGGAGAGACAAATGGAGGAAGGGAGCAAGGGGCAGGTACCTCCATCAAACTAATGGGCACTCCTGTGTCCCCGGGTACTGGCAGACTGGGTGCTAAGGAAGGAGACGTTGTTCCAAGGTTTCACTCTTAAAAATGTTTACAGGACATGTGAAAGTACTAAGGATTAAGCGAGGGGGTCTACTCGCCGCAGCACCACTCAAGAGACTTCGCCGGCGGGAGGGGCGGGACTAGAACCCAGGGAGCACAGCGCCTGCGCACTGAAGACCCTGAAGGACAGCGTCCACAGCGAGATGGGCGGGGGATGCCAGGGCATCCGGGTCCCTCACCCCGCCCCACTGCATGAATGAGAGGCGCGGCGCCTGCCCCTCCCCCGCCGGGCCCGCCCCTTGCCCCTAGCCTAGGAGCGCAGTCTGTAGCCGCCACCTCAGCCGCACACGCACTTCGTCCCAGCAGACGCTCGCAGCCCACAGCCAGCTGCCTGGAGCTGACGGTCCCGCAAGGCTGCCGCCGCCGCTGCCGCCGCCGCCGCCAGCGCTACCGAGTGAGTGAACAACGAGCGAGGGCCGGAACGCAGAGGCCCGTGGCCCCCAGGCTCGGGCTTAGGGGACCTGGTAGGTCCGGGTTAGGGATGCCGAGGAGACCGCGGGCCAGCACCAGCGTCCCACACACTCACTCCGGGCTCCCCCTGCGGGGGGCGGGGAGGAGTGGGACCGCAGCCCCAGGCCTGGAGAGACGCGGAGGAGGGCTCGCCGGGGGCCCGAGGGTGCAGGGGCTGGCGCCGGGAAGTCGCGAAGTCGCAGGAGGGAAGGTTCACAACGCCTTGCACGCCCCTCTTGCGGGTGCCGGGCGCCTGGCTCCGGGCGTGGGAGGCGGCTGGGATGTGTGGGAAGGCGAGGACAGCGAAGACCGCTGCCTCGGTGTTGGCATTGGGAAGGCGCCTTGGGGGGCGCGGCGTGGCAGTGTTTTCCTGATCCCCATCTGTTCCTCCCTTTCTTTGTGGCGTTTGTCTCATGCCCGTTTGTCACTGTATGGTGGCTGTGGTCTAGGGTGCGATCTCTCGCCTGGGCTTACTCATTAATTAAAGTCAGGTGGTGGCCTCCAGCCTGTGGGTGGGGGGCGCGTGTGCGTCCACAGGCCAGAGAATTGAGGACCTTCCTTTGTTTCCAGAGACCTGGTGGGGTGTGTGTGTGTGTCTCCTATGAAATGAATCAGATCATTAAAAAAGGGTCTGAGGAAAAAAAGACATTATCAACAGACATTCACCCAATTCTGTCTCTGATGTTCTTTCAAACACCATTTCAAACAAACATTTTTTGGTTGTTTCTTACTGTAAAAATCAGTGGGTTTCGTTAATTGAAAATGTATGTCTGTGTTCCCATGTATCTGTACATCTGCACTTTGTTTTTTGGGTTTAGTTAATAGTAAAATACTGCTGTGTATGTACATGGGAATACTTCAGTACATATAGGACACTGTTTTCTGGGTTTAGCTCTTACAATATATGCCTATACTCGTGTACACGTCTATGGAAATACTCCGGTATATATCCAGGACACTTTTCCCAGCTGCTCAGTACAGGCAGATTTTGTTTCTTCCTGCCCCTGTGTTAATAAGAAGGTGGTCCAGCAGGTTCTGTCCACCTCCTCCCCACCCCCCCCCCACCCAATGCTTTGGCACAGGGTTTTATTGCATATTACCCTGGCATGTGCCCTTGCTTTGATCTGAATTTTCCTGTGTTCTGTTGTCTGGTTGTGCAGCCCAGCTCAGTGGCTCCACTTACAGGACTACTGGAAAACAGAACACCTTTTATCGTAATCCTCATCCCCAGAGAGAAAAGGAAACTCTGCAGGTTCCCACAGACTCACTTGCTCGGTGAGACTGACTGCCTGACTTTGCTGTCTTCCTAAAGTTAAGACCAAGAGGACAAGTTGGTGTAGTCCAGTTAAAAAGAAACAGTTGTAATAGCACCAACTATTCCTTGCTATTTCTTCTGGACCCTTTTCTCTTTCTAAATCAGATTGTATAAGCTTTAGAAGATAGCTTATTGCATTACTAGTTTTATAATTTTTTTATTTTTTACCCCTATAATTTCGCAGAGTGATGGGAAATTAGCTGAAGTTGGTTATAAGAAACGCACCTCGAAAATATTTTAGTTACAATCTTTCTATTTAAAATACTGATGGTAAAAAAAATTAAGAGGGCTTATTGGATGATATGAGTAATTGAATTGGTTCAGTGTTAAGATTCTCTTTAAGATTCTTTTTAGTCATGTGTATTTTAATTCCTAGTAGTTTTCATTGCAAAATAATATCTAAACTAAGCAATCTTCCAGTGTTGTTTATGTATATTCCCTTTATTAAAAACATTTGCTTTTAATTTGAAGGGGAATTTTCCATCAGTTGTCTTGGGATCCATCATTCTTGGTAAAAAAAAAAATTCTTACCTTATGTTGGCATGGTCAAATTTTTTTTGCAAAAGTTAAAATTAGTAAAAGTTGACTTTTCAATTTGGGGAAGTTTGGGTTTTATGATGTAGAATATAAATAAATTTTAATATCAATGAATTTCACTAAAAATAAGTTGACTTTAAAAACAAGAGCGTCATTAACTTCCTTAACTAGTATCACTAATGTTGAAGCAACCCCAATAATTGTATAAACTGCCCACATCTGGTTAGTTTTTTAGGAATCTCCTTAAAATAAACCATAAGGGGAAGTCTTAGATAAACAAAGTAGTATAACCGGAATTATTGCTGAAATAGGCTTGCATAGTACCACTGTGGAACATTAATTTTGCAAGAGTGACTTCGCTATTGTTTGAATCAACAAAGGAATCTGAAAACATCCTGGCCTTGTTCAGCACTCTGTTAACCAAAATCTTTACCAACCTATAGCATGGCATTTCCTGTAGCATGACGATTAAAGAAAAAATTCAAAAGTAATTTCTAGATCATCAAAATAAATTACGTTAAATGTTGTTTTAGTAGTAAATATATTAATTAGAAATACTAATATTGTTATGTTAGTGATGGTGACAGCAGGTATGGTAACAGTTACCCAAAACTGGGATATATTATCCCCCCAGCAATAGCTGATGATAAAAAGTAGAATATTTTTTTGATTGAGCATTTTCTATCAATGATTGTTTTCATTATTATAATGTATTATCTTAAACTATATGAAATTGCCATTTTTTAGGTTGGGGAGTAGTAAAAAAATCAACAGTTTCATACGGTTCAGTCACTTTCAACTTTTAGCAGTTCCTTCTGTTATTTACCTTTATTTCATTTTTAATATTTAAACTCTTATTTCCTGATTTTTCACCTTTGGATATTTGGATACTACCTACAGACTTCTATTTTGGAAGTCAAGGACTTAGCTATCCCATACAGCCATCCTTCTGTTCTCTGCGCATACATAAACTTTACAGTTCCCAGTTAATCCATTTTCAGTATTTATGTGACTATGACAATGTACCTGTTATTCACAGATGAGCTATGTAAGGTCTTAATATTACATTTTGTTTCTTTTTTTTAATATTTTTAAATTTATTTTTAGAGAGGGAAGGGAGGGAGGGAGAGAGAGAGAAACATCAATGTGCAGTTGCTGGGGGTTATGGCCTGCAACTCATGCATGTACCCTGGCTGGGAATCAAACTTGCGACACTTTGGTTCGCAGCCCGCGCTCAATCCACTGAGCTACACCAGCCAGGGCTTACATTTTGTTTCTTATACAACCCTTGTTTCTCCTGAATTAAATATTCACCTCTTTTCTTTGTTTTTCATTTGCTTAGTTTTCTTTGTACCAGTCACCAATTCATCCTCAAATTCTATGACAGAACTAATAATCTTTCAATGTTTTCAAATAATTTGTTTCATCTCTTTTTTCTAGCTGTCATCTAGGACTTCCCTGTTATCATCTTGTGAATTCCCTTTGCCTTCTTCCTTTGTTAAATCCTTTTTTTCCCTGGATCCTGTGTCTCCCTCACTCATTCTTTAGTAGCTCCCTGAGAAAGGGCTCATACAAACTGTGAAACTCCTTCCTAAATTCAGAAGTTGTATGTCTTGAAATGTCATTTTACCCTCACACTTGAGTAGTGGTTTAACTGGATATTGAATTCTAGATTGAAAATTAGTGTCCCTCTTTTGAAAGCATTGTTCCATTAGCTTCCAGAATTGCTCTTTAGAAGTCTACTGCCATCTTAATTCCCACATCCTTTTTCCTCCCACCCTAGAAAAAGGTTTGGATAAACCTTTTGTTTATTTCTGGTGTTCCTAACCTTTCATGATGCTTCATGAAACATCTTTTTTTGTGTGCTTATGGGGCAGATAATATTTTCTCTAAGTGACTATTTGGTATGTATGTCCACGCAGATCCACACACCCTATCTCACTCAAAATGCTATTTTTTATGGTGTTGACATGCTTCTCTCAAGAGGTGGGGTCTTTGTTTTCTCTCCTTGAACCTGTGAAGACATGAATGCTCCCCAGAATGTTGGGTCATAAGGCAAAATTGTGACTTAGGAGCACAGCTGAAAGATCAAAAGCATGTATCTCAGGGGGCAGGCATTTTTTATTTTTTACTTTTAAATGAGATCATCACTGGAAATGTCAGTTGGCCTCAGAAAAAATGTCTTCAAGCAGTGAAATGCAATCACCTTAGGAATCTACCCAAAGGCTACCAGGTGCATTTTTCAAAATCCACCGTAAGAAGCGACAGAACTATTCATGACCAATAAAGAAACACTCTTTAAGCTTCATGATTAAATAATGTTGTGATTAAATATGACAAATATAGTATTTGCAAGCTTTTCTGTGATGAGAAGATGGAGACAAATGAAACTATGTAGACCACAGCTTGAATGAACATTGTCAGTGATTTTCTGTTTTTCTTATAGATACATATTTTGTTTAATATTTTTTACCCATGAATTTTTTCCTGTTTACAGCTGCCTTATCCCTCATCTAGCTTTTCCATGAGTGCACATGAGTGACTGAATATTACTGGAGAACTTAAGAGTCATGATTAAAAATCTGAAGTGAGCTCTCAGCACTGCCCAGGAAAAAGCTGTGAGATTCCTAATAAGATCTTTTTGCCTATAACTATTTAGTGATTTCTCCCCATTCTTTTTGCTTATGAGTGGCCTACGCCTTGCCGTACTGATAAGCAGGCTTTATGCTTCATTGAGAGTTTAGGAGTTACCACATAGGTACCCCTCTTCTTCCCCTCACTAAATCTAAAAATTTACTTTCCTTAGGACTCATGTTTTCTGTTATTTTCCTATCAAAAGCCGACTCCTCTCCCACCATATTCCTCCCTCATACCTACTCTAGGATTTGACTCTTGCATTTGTACCCTCTCTCGAATTAGCAGTTCTCCTTGGTACCATCCCTGTCAACATACACACGTTCTTATATTGCCCATCTTTGAAAACAGAAGAAAAAATTACTTTTTCCAGACCTCTCATCCATCCCCTTCTCTTTACCTTCATGCTTATATGTCTCAAAAGAGAAGTCTGTATTTCCTCCCTACCTCCTGTGTAATACATAACACTGTCTGAAAATCTCTTTTTGACTGGTATTTTCACTCTCACCCCCACTGGAAGGTCAGCTT